TTCTCCTCCCTGCTCAGCTCTTCTCAGTTCTCTTTCAAGCTTAACCTTGCACCGTCTTCATGTACATAACAACCAGGGGACTTTTAGTGACCAAAGTTAATGATGGAGTTAAGTCCTGTACCCTTTGTACCCTTCTGTTTGAATCCAACCACCTCCCCAGACTTTCCCAACCACTTCCACCCTCTCCTTAGCAAATGGGAGGTTGAGAATTTCTCTATACTTTCCTAAATGTCTCTATTAACAACAGCAGTTACTATTGAGCACAGTGTGCAGAATGCTGTAGGACATGTATTGTGCTATAGGATGGACATTCTGATGTGACCCGTAGGATGATTTCAGAGGAAAGAAACACAAGATTAGGAGACAGTGTGTTCGTAGTTAAAGGACTTGGGGTAGAGTCTGCCTTTGTCCTAGTCAGACCGCTCAGTTCTGATGTGACCCGTAGGATGATTTCAGAGGAAAGAAACACAAGATTAGGAGACTGTGTGTTCGTAGTTAAAGGACTTGGGGTAGAGTCTGCCTTTGTCCTAGTCAGACCGCTCAGTTCTTGTATGGAATAGTTCAGTAGACTCCTAAATGACTTTCCTGCTTTCAGTTCTTTCTTTAGCTTCCCTCTTATGTGCCACCGTTAGTCCTGCAACAGACTACTAGTTAGCTCTCTGAAACAGTCTTCCCATTCCCTTGTTTAAAAAGGTTTCTTCACAGGTTCCTCTTGTCTATATAATGAGGACTGAACTCCTTAGCTTGATACTCAAAGTCCTTGTTTGTTTTGAACTGCCTCTCCAAACTTTCCCGGCCACTGAGATCCATTAAGCATTTTTTTTTAGTATGCCTTTGGACACATTGCTGTTTTCCTTACCTCTCATTCATTATCCATCTTGCTTCTTTTTTGAGGCCTCACTCAGGCCTCCTCAGTGACATATTTGGGCCATGTCTACTACCTGCACCCTAACTTTGAAGCAGAATTAACTATTCCCCATTTCTTCATACTTCGTTTTGTCACTTTTGAACTGTTATTCATACTGCAGTTTAGTGAGTCATCTAAATGTCTGTCTCCCTTGAAGACAAGAATGGTCTTGCTCTATCTTTGTATCTTTAGTTCCTAGCACAATGGGAGGCATGTGGCAATTTGTTTCTAAATGCATCATGAGTAAGGATTTAATGATTGCATAAAGCAATCATTTATTTGCATATTTATTTGCATAAAGCAAAACATTTATCACTTTTTAATTATCTCTGTATGTAAAACACAAGCGTAAGTAAGAGACGTCCGTTATGCAGGTAATCAACTTATACAGGCAAATTGACAGATCTCTAAACTTATTTGATATGATTTCTGAGCCTTGCCTTTTTTAGACACAGTGTGATTGAGGGTAAAGGGATGGAGGTGAAAAATTAGTGGTCAGTAAAATAAAGGTGAATTTAGTAATAATTTGGGGTGAAAATATTTTAAGTCTTATTTAAAAGTTGTTTAAAAAATAGTATTTTTTTAAAAAGCACATATGCTAAAAATAATACAGAGGAAAGTAGCATAACCCTATGTAAGGATGAGATGCTTATTCATGAATCATTCCACAGTTTTATTACAAAATCACCATTTTGCACCTACCAGTTTAGTAATTGATTCCATCAAGGATTATTAATAAATGCTAACACCTTTTGCTGACAGGTTGTTGAGAAACAAGGTATTCAAATGATTATGTACTGTTACCCCAGAGATGATTAATTAATTACAAAATGAAAAGGTACCTTCACATTGAAGTGATCTGGAGAATATCACCTTAACCAAGTGATCAAACTTTGTGTCACCAGTGATGATTCAGAAGATCTTATGTGTGTCCTTATATGATGCTCTAGGAATATACCACATCACCTACGTGGTATCCTTACCAAAAATATTTAACTTGAATCTGAACAGAAGAAACAATTAGTCTAGATCTGGGGACATACAGGAAAACTGGGCTGGATTCTTTTTGTCATAAAAGATATTTAAAAAGTGGAAGAGAGGGCTGGGAATGATTTTAAATTAAAGCAAAATAAAGAGATATGACAACCCAATGCAATCCATGCTCCTTCAGTAGATTGTGGATTTATAGGTTGGGGATGATGTCTATTAAAGGACACTTAAGATACGACTGGAGAATTTTTAATATAGATTATGTATTAGGTAATACTTTTGTATCAGTACTGAATTTCTTGGGTATGATAATGGTCTTGTGGTTATAAAGGAGAATGTCCTTATTCTTAGGATACTTTACCCATAAATATTTGAGATGTTTCATTATTTTCAAATGGTTCAACAAAAATTAAAGGGAAAAAAAATCACATGCCTTAGGGGAGTAGAGGTTGATTCTGTGGTGGAGAGGGGAAAAAAATAAATGGGGCAAAAAGTATTTAGTGACTAAGATAAATTTCAGTGAGTGTTCATTGTGCTATTTCTGTTTTTTTCTTTAAGATTAATTAAATAAAAAGTTGGGGGAGCAAAAGAATCAAAGCACATCTTTAATTTATTCAGGAATTGCTGTCCTGCCTGTGGCATTCCTTTTCCTTATCCTTTGCCTTTTCCCTTTTTACTCTCAATTTTAAATTTAATTTTCTGGTCTCTTGGGATTGCACTAATGCAAATTGATTTATTTGTTCTTAATGCCTCTTATGATTTAGCAGTTGGAAAACTTAAGACAAAGATGAGGTGTTACAAGTTTGTGGGTTATTATTTTTGTTCATTCTCTCCCTGTTCCCCACAGTTGATGTCTTATCTTCGTCCTCAGAAAATTTTGGTGAAAACAGGAAAAATGTTTGAGACATAGCCTTGGTACTGGAAGAACTGGTGGGCTGGTTGGAGAGATGGGCCATGGGCATAAAAGGCAGACAAGGACTAAATGAAAAGTCAGGCTGTCTTTATACTCCCCTCACCCCTGCTCAGTCTTAGCCTGTACCCCTGAACTTTCAAAATATTACATTTCTGATCTGAGCATGAGTATTGGAAAGAACCCATCATTTTAAAGCTCATACTTTAGTACTCTTTTTATCACTTTTTGCAAGGCTAAGATTTCTCTCTTTTTCAGATAGGTGAGAACGGTGATCCCAAAGCCTTCTTGATAGAGATTTCCTGGACAGAAACATATCCCCAGACACCTCCAATTATATCTATGAATGCTTTTTTTAACAACACCATGTGAGTAGTGTTTCATTTTCATTGTTTTTCCATTTTACTCTGTATTTTACTTTTCCCTCTGCAATATATTTGTTGTGCATTGTAGATCATCAGCTGTAAAGCAGAGTATATTAGCCAAGTTACAGGAAGCAGTGGAAGTTAATCTTGGAACCGCTATGACCTACACGTTGTTTGAATATGCCAAGGACAATAAAGAGCAGTTCATGGAGAATCACCATCCCATTAATTCTACAGTGAGTATGCGGTTATTTTTTGCTAGATTGTTTTCTTGTTTTGGTTTTGCTCTGCTAGTAGTTAATTTTTACTAGTTAATATTTTTTGAAAATTGGAAGGAGACTTCGGTTAGATTTAAAATGACAGTTACATCTAAGTTAAATAAGAAGAGTGAATTTTAGATTTCTTCTACTTAACCTAGAAAATGAAATTATAGTCTGTAGATTTTCACCCTTCATCAAAAACTGGAATATCTCTTACGCCCACCAAAACCAAGATATTATAGAAACTAGTATTTTTTAAATTTAGCTAATGTCTTCATGAAGCTTAGATAGCTAAAGGATTTATATAGTGCTACAGTATGTATGTAATTGCTTTCTCCATGTGGCTTATTTTGTTGCAAATAGTCTTGCCACAGTTCAATTTAAAGGTATTGCAGCTTAAGGAGACTTTATTGAATAGAAAAAGATAATTGATTTATTTCTAGAATAATTTTAGGACGTAATCATCTTTCATGATCTTAAGCATCTATGTGTTACATCTCCTTGCTCCATGTCATGCACTAAAATACTTTCATTGGTCAATATTAACTGGGTTTTGTGTTCTGATCCAAACTGTAAGCTTTTTTGGCAGCAAAGGCCATCTTTTCTATTTGAGTGGTTCTGGCTTTCCATGCCCAGCAGCACACAGAAGAACACTGAGTGGCAACTGGAAGAGCAGTAAAGGGTGCTTGCTAAGATCATGGACTGTGAGCCAGGCTGCCTGGGTTCCTATCCTCACCGCACCCTTTATTAACCATGTGACTTTGGGCAAATTTCTCAGTCTTTGTGCTCAAGCCCTTCATCTGTAAAATGGAGATTATAAATAATAGTATCTACCTTACAAGATTGTG